AGCCCTCAAGATATATAGAAGCGTATCTCTCTCTCTCACTCTCTCTTTGATATTTGATCGATCTGAAAATTGCTTCGTTCAACGAAAACCGTGTTTGCCAACGAGGTAACTTTATATATATAGTAAGGCACACGTCTTATGGAAGACGCGCAAACTGGAGAAGCTGGAACTTACTTCCGGAAACTATGCGCTACATGAAACTTCGATGTCGCATTCATATACCCTACTATATTGAAATAGTTAGGGATGTGAAAGTAGACGACTTAATAATGTGACAAAATATTCAACAAAATTTGAAATTTTTTAATTATAATTTACCGCTATCGTGAAGATAGCGTCGACCCTAAAAATGATCTTTAACAGCATGTGATTGTTAGGTTCTCAATGGTAATGTTTTCGACCACTTTTCTCTTTAAATATTTAATAAAATTGAGCTGAAATTTTGTACGAAAGTCTAAAATATAATAAAGAAGATCATGATTGCACAGTCATAAGAATGATGTGCAAAAGTTTTAATAATTTAAAAATAAATTCAAATAAAACACTTTAAAATCGGTAATGACGAGAAATTGATTAAAAGTGACCGAGACAACTTATAATTTTAAAGTGTTTTATTTGAATTTATTTTTAAATTATTAAAACTTTTGCACATCATTGCTCTTCTTTATTGTATTTTAGACTTTCGTACAAAATTTCAGCTCAATTTATTAAATATTTAAAGAGAAAAGTGATCGACAAAATTACTGATGTGCTAAAACAAACACTGTTAACTTAAAAGAATCAAATTGCAACGAATTGATACTAAAAATGTGGATCAAATAAAAAATTTAGCTATATTTTCGTTATCAATTTTATCCACTTTAGAATCAATTTGATACTTTCAAGAAAACAGTGAAAAAAATGAAGCAGTTTCTCAAAAATTTTACACTGAAACACTGTTCTATTAAACTAAATTCTGATAAATAAACCCTAGACGCATATGAATCTATATCAAAAGTGACTTTTTTATCCCAGAAAAATAGTTTTCGACACTGAGCGTCAACACTAACCTTCCACCTTCCAGAGACCTGCCATTTGCTCACAAAATTACTTCAAAGAAAATTTTCTTTTATAACAGAAATATATTTTTTTCATACGTCGAAAAATCGATATTCTGAATTACAAATTGTTCGAATATAATTCAGAGTATATCGTCCTCGATAAGCAAAAAGTTATACTGTAACAAAATTTCTTTTCTTTTTTCTATTTTCTTTCTTTTACTATTTCATTTCATAAACTTGCAAAATTCGTCTCTATAATATACATATATGTATATGAAGGTTAGACATTTAGATAAAAAGTTTGATAGATGTGCACAATTTATGTGAATTTTTTTTTCAAAATGACAGTCTTGAGAAATCGTTTAGTTAAAGAAGGTGCATCCAGTAGAAAGACATTTTTCAACATATAAAAATATTTTAAATGGAATTGAAACATTTTTGTCCCGTAAAATAATATAGAATTATTTTTTTTTTATAGATATAAAAAGTTTATTTTATAGAAATAAAAAGTATAGCTTTCAAAAATCGAAAATCACTGACAAATAAAGATTATCAACTTATTTCGAAAGAATAAATTTTTTGCTTTTTCATTTGTAAGGATTGAAAAATTTAATTACACTTTATAGATATTAAAAGCAAAATGTACATACCTAATTACAATTTTTCAATTCTTAACGAATAAGAAAGTGTAAAAATGTATTCTTCCGAAATAAGTTGATAATTTCTGTTTTCAAATTTCCAACTCAAATACTATTCTTTTGTTAACCATAAAAATGCAGCTTTTTCTTCTTATTTGTATAAAAAAAGTCTTAAAAATGTTAATTTTCTGAAAATTTTATATGACGTTTACATTTTGTCATTAAAAGAAAAAAAAAAGACGGCAATTTTCTCTACCACAGAATATTCTCATCGTGTTATGAAAAAAAATATATATATAAATGTCCGTAATTAAAAACTCCTTTTATGAAATTGAAAGAAACGACAGAAATAAAAAGTTAAAAAGAAAAGAATGTCATATTTCCATTTTGCAGTTTAGATAACATTATAATATAAATCCTCAAAATATTTACCGCACCTTTCAAAAATATCGATATTATTCTTTACGTAAAACTTGATAAATTAAGGATGTTCAAACCATTATACATCACCTCAAACCAAAAAGTGATGTTTATCTTCAAATAAAACTGCAAATAAAAATTTATTTTACCTTTTGAAAGATCCATTCCTAAAATTATCAAAAAAAATGTGGTGTATTGTTTTATATCGGACTGATTTTTAATGTAATTTTGTCCATTGTACACGATTTCAAGTTTCTAAATTACCAGTCAGTTCAGAATTTTGAAAAAAGTGGGGGTAAAGACCCAAAAAAAATTATTTTTAGGGTTTTTCAAAACAATTTTTTAGTTGTTTACTCACACTTTCCTCAAAATCCTGAATTGCTAGACAATTATTTCAGGATCCGGAACAGTATTCAGAGGACAAAAATACATTAAAAACCACTCCGATATCAAAAGTAACCAAAAAATTTTTTTGGAGCTCTTTACCCCTACTTTTCTCAAAATCCTCTATTTTTTCTTCTTGTACATGCGGGTCTTCAAGTGCTGATATCTCAAAATCCTTTTTTAATTTGAAACCTTAAAAAATTGTTTTATTTTATTCTTTTCATTTTCACAAAAAAAAAGTTTTTCGACTCTGAGCGTTGACGCTAACTTCAGGGATCTTAATATTCTGTTTTTCTTTAAATGATATTTTCATTCAGTTTTTACAAATATTATGACTCATTTTTTTCGAAAGATTCTTCACAATTCTGTTAGTTGTATTTTGTTATTAATAATTTGTTCAAAAGTTATTGAACAAGTAAAAAATAAAATTTGTACATTTTAGATTTTTAAACAAAATTTTAATTGAAACAAAGAGAATTGTAGAGAATCTTTCAAAATAAATCAAAATGAGCTATTGTTTGTCTAAATAAGATAAAAATTGAAATTTTAATAATTAACTTTATAGAAGAAACACAAAATTTGAAATTTATTTTGTGTTAAAAACCGCTTCTTTAGTTTGAGGTTATGTCAGGAATTTGAACTTTCTTAAAAATTAATCAATTACAAACTTTCAAAAAATTTCTCTTTACATATAATTATTATTTTAATAATTATAGTTATAATTATTATATATATTATAATTTTGAATTAATATACGTGACCTCGACAATTAAAAGAATCCTTACGTCCGAAATCAAAATTCAAAATGGCGGATCCAATATGGCGCCGAAAACTGTAAGAATTAAATGTATTCGTTTATGAAACATTTCGCAAGTTCATCGAATTTGCTTGATACTCGTTACTCGGAAGTTTTTGGGATCGTTGAGCATGAATCTAAAGTCAGATTTTCGAAATTTAAAATGTCGGATCCAATATGTCGGACAAAATTTGGAAATTGATTCAATGTTGCTTGAAACTCGGTACTCGGGGTTATTTATAGTCATTGATTATGAATCTAGCATCAGATTTAGCCCAATTGGGCCACAGTTTTCTTAAAAATATCAAATTGATACTAAAGTGGATTAAATTGATACCAAAAATTTGGATCAATTTTTTATTTGATCCACATTTTTTTTATCAATTCGTTGCAATATGATACTTTTAAGTTAACAGTAGAATTTATAATTTTTTGTTTTAAAAATCTAATGACAAATTAGATATCAACGACCCTCGAAAATTCCGAAATAATGAGTTTTCTGCAAATCCAACTAATTTTTTAAACTTCATTCGCCATATTGGATCCGACATTTTGAATATTAAAAATTTGATTTTACAGGGTTCCTACAGAAATCCGAATTTAAAATTCCATACGTTTTCCATGATTTCCAGATCAAATTTTTAGGAAATTCCAGTGGAATTTTAAATTTAATTTCCGCGTCGTAAAATGTATATTATCTTAAAATTTCTAATACGTGTCACGACTCACGAACGAGGCTTTATATTCCCGCGCGAATTAAAAAGACTGCAATGAAAAGTTACAGCTTACATAAAATTATTGAAAAGAAAAAATGGAAAACAGGAAAAATTTAGAAACTTATAAAAAAATCCAGGTCTTTTCCATAATTTTCCTGATTTCCAGAAGCATTTTAAAAATTTTAAAAATTCCATACCATTTCCATGATTTCTAGATTCTGTAGGAACCCTGATTTTAGATTCATGATCAGTGACCCCAAAGACCAGAAAAAAGAGTATCAAGCAAACCTGATGAAGTTGCAAAATGTTTCAAACAAATCCGATCAATTCTTATAAATTTTTACTCTCTTGATATTTTTTACTTTTTTAACCAAATGTGCCCTACTTTAAAGCGCTTTTGTAAAAAAAAGTAAATGAAGATAGAGATGCTCGGTTAATTCCATTGAAAGGAGCCTATCTTTTTCTATAAGAATCACCCAAAAAGTGAAAATCGATTTTTCCGATCGTTAAAGTCCAGGTCACATATAATATTAATTTACAATACATACAATGCAGGTTAAATCAGATAATTTTTTCAAAGTAACAATAATTACTTTCAACCAATTCTATACAAAAGAGCATTTTTATTCATAGTTCACTGTATTATAAATAAATAGTAATTACTTAATTACTATTAATAATCCCCATAATCATAATTTTTATAAAATTATAAAAATTACAGTCATATTTTTTTCCCTTCTTCAACATCTTTTATATACGAAGCTTACATTTAAAAAAAACTGCAAAAACCCAGTTGTCGATTTTGCATAACAAAAAAAAATGTAGTCAAAGTTGGTATTTTTCTCATTGTAGCTGAAAATTGATTCGATTGCGGAGTCTCTTTTTCATAATGACAAAAATATATATATATATATTGTCGGCGAAACCGCAGACTTTTTAAATATAATGAAGAAGAGGCGATAAAGAAAAGAAAGAAGAATAAAAAAAAGTTGAAAGAAAAACTCACCTTTAGAGCTTCTTCGTGGGTGACAGCCCGAAAGGGCGTGCCGTTCACTTCCAAGATGGTGTCTCCTGGCCTGAGTCCAGCACGTTCGGCCACCGAACCCTCTTCCACCCTCGAAATATAGACTCCCACTCCTGAGAACAATTCACATATTCTCCATTAGTCTCTATAAAATAGCTGTTTCTATATTTTATGTAATAATAATAATAATGATAATAATCGGAAAAATGTGCACTAATCCATTCCACTCATGGCGCCCATGTGCGCATTCAACAAACCAGATTGCATTTTCCACTCAACGTAATGTTCATGCAATCGGGAGAAAAGCTTCAATTTCAAGGTCTTTCAATTTATCTCGTTCCATAAACTCAATTGGCACTGATTCCACTACAGAGTCCTAACTAATCCCTCATCCAAGGATTCCTTCGTGCTTTTTCTTTTTCTTTTTCATTTTTCCACAAAATTTTCAAACTTTTCTCATTTCAATTTAAAAACAATAGCGAATTTGTATTCAAATACATGTTATTCTCATGAATTTTTCCCTCTATTAATTAGTCAATTCGAATTCCCAGTTTTTTTTCAAATTTATAAAATTTATTTTACTTTGAAAATTTTTTTCTTCTTTCTGCTTCAAAATTTATTATGTTTTATTTTTATATGCTTTTAATTCATCAATTTTATTGCTTCAAAATTTATAAGGTTTACTTTATTTTTTATATAATTACCTATTTTAATTTTTAATTTATTCAAAATTTTACATAGAGTTTAAACTTTAAATTAAACACAATTTTCATATCGGAAAAATTTAATTAGCAAAATATTAAATATAATTAAATCTTTATAAAAAATTCTACTTTGACTGAATTATTATTTTTCAAAATATTATAAAAATTTAATTTGAAAGCACAATATTCACGCGTCTCTAAAAAATAAAAAAAAATAAAAGAAAAAACAGTTAATAAAATAAAAGGTAAACAAACAAAAAAAAGTAAAAGAATAAATAATAAATTGTTATTAATATAATAAATAAAATAATAAAAGGCAAAAAATAAAATAAAAGAAGTAGAAGAATAAATAAATAATAAAATTTAAAAAAAAATTTTTTTTAATTAAAAAGCAAAAAATGAAAAAATAAACAATGGATAAAAAGTGAAAAATAAAACATCAAAAAATAAGTTCATAAATAAACATAATTAATAAATGGATAAAAAATAAGTATAAAACAAAATAAAAAAAGCTCCAAGAAACCAAAATAAAACCTTCTAATAAAACTTAAAGAAAAATCCACTGAAACTTCTTTCATTTTTTTCAAAAAAAAATTCTACTTTCCATTTATCATAAGTATTATAGAGCGAAACTTGGGAAAAAGAGTTTATATTTACATGTGCAGTTGACACATTTTATTTTGTTGTTTCGACCCATTTCCCCCTCTCCCCACCCCCGCAGGACTCAAACAAATTCACTTGAAAGATAAAACAATTCAACATTGAAAAATTGCACTTTCAAATATATTGTAAACAGAAATTTAAATGGAAAATTGTGAAAATTGAAAAGAAACGAGAATCTTAATTTTTCAAATGGAAAAATATGTAACGGAACAAAAAAAAATTGTGACTTAAATAAATTGAAAACATCTCAAGTAGAGTAATATTCATTAATTGAAATCGATCACATAAATTTGTTTTAACAATTATTATATTTTTTTTATTTATTTTTTCCTTTTTGACAGAGAATTCCTTGTCAAATGCATGAAAAGAAAGAGAGAAGTTTAAATTGGAAAGCATTTTGGCAATTGAAATTTTTTCTTTTTTTTAAACACAGAAATTCGTGCCATATGAATTCTTTCTCTTTTATTATTGCAAACTCTTTGCATATTTGTTTTTAAAAAAACAAGTCGTCTAAGAGAAAAAATAATAGAAAAATGTAAATATTCTCTAAATTTGAATTTGTGAAAAATCTAGTAATTCAAGTTAGTAAAAATTTTCACTAATTTTCTGTATACTGTTATCAACATTTAATTTTTAATGAAATACCTATACATAAAATTATGTTAATTATAAGTATTGGTAATATATTTGTTATAAACATTTGATTGTTATAAAATTATATTGATTATATATCATTTCCTTCAATTATATTTGATTATAATTTATAATATTATTGGTTTTTTATTTGGTATAATATAAACATTTGATTGTTATATTATAAGATTAAGGGGCTGTCCATAAATTACGTAACACGTTTAGGGGGGAGGGGGGGTTCGAGAAAATGTTATCATATGTTACATGGGAGGGGGGGGGTCAATCATCATTGTTACGTAATATTTATAAGGAACTTAATCTCTTTATAATGGATAAATTTTTGAAAAGCTGTCCCTTGCCGCCACTTCAATATAAGTAAAAATCGAATCATTTCGCGAACCGATTCTTGGGAATAATATAGGTACAATTTTTATTGTTAAAAAATCAATGTTATATTTTTGGTTGTTCAGTATGATTAATAAAATTATTCCTCTAAATGTTTTTTATATTTAACTTAATTTTGTATTGCTATTGTACGATATAAATACTAAAAATAGCAGTAATAAACAAATTTGTTTCGAAAAACGTTAGTAAAAAAATATTTTTAAAAATTACGTAACATTGATAAGGAGGGGGGGGTGTAAAACGATTTTGTTACAACTTGTTACATAGGGGGAGGGGGGGTTCAAAATTTCACTAAAAACGTGTTACGTAATTTATGGACGGTCCCTTACGATACATATTAATTATAATATTACAGAGGTGAAATTTTGTACTTTGACTTTGACTTTCGATTCGATTTTGACATTAACATTGACTTTTTAACTTTAACTTTGACATTCAATTCGATTTTGACATTGACATTGCTTTTCTAACTTCAACTTTGACTTTTAATTCGATTTTGACATTGACATTGCCTTTCTAACTTCAACTTTGACTTTAAATTCGATTTTCACTTTGACATTGACTTTTTAACTTTAACTTTAATTTTTGACTCTAATTGTGACTTTAATATTGACTTTTTGATTTTAACTTTGACTTTTAATTAAAATTTGACTTACACATTGACTTTTTGACTTTAACTTTCACTTTCGATTCGATTTTAACATTAACTTTGACTTTTAATTCGATTTTGATTTTAATATTGACTTTTTAACTTTAACTTTGACTTTTAATTAAATTTTGACTTACACATTGACTAAACATTGGCTTTAACTTTGACTTTCGATTCGATTTTGACTTTGATATTGACTTTTTATTCTAACTTTGACTCTCGATTCGATTTTGACTTTAATATTGACTTTTTGATTTTAACTTTGACTTTTAATTAAATTTTGAATTTCACATTGACTTTATGACTTTAACTTTTACTTTCAATTCGACTTTGACATTGTCTTTATGACTTTGACTAATTTGAATATTAATGACTGACTGACTTTTGAACTAGTAAATTTTACTAATAAATAGTAATTTACACTACTTTATTAGTAAAATTTACTTATTCAAAAGCAAAAAGTCTGTCACTGATTCAAATTTACTAAAACTTGTAACCTCGATCAATAAATTAGCAGAAGCTTACTTTACTAACTAAAAATTTTGTAAAAAAAATTGTAACCCCAACAAATATTTTCTCTCAGTATATAGATTTTTAACTATATTTCATTTAGTATATATTTGAATAGTGTTTTACTATTAACTTTTTGTATAAAAAAGCGACTATAAAATTAGTCGATATTTTTACTAATGTAAATTAGTAGACTCATTTCCACTAATTCAAATTTAGAAAGTAAATTTATTTAAAATTCAATCAATAAATTGAATTTTAAAAAAACTGGTTTTAAATGGAAAATGTGAATTTTAAATCTTATACAATTAGTTCATATATTAGTTGAGTACCAACAATGTTATTACCTTTTTTTATAAAAATACTTATTGTATATTTCCTACAATATTTGTTTTGGCGAATTTTAAGAAATAGAAAATACTCTTCTATATTTTTCAAGAAAAATAAAACATATTTTCGTAGATTACAGGGATTTCTAGGTTATTCAGTATGTAGTTTAATCAGAGCACAAGAACAAATTGAAACAAGATAAAATCATAGTGTGTCTACAAATTTCACTTGTAATCTGAAAATCAGAGTTCCTCAAGACCCGATTCCAGTGACCTCCAACCTTTTGGTCTTTTATTAGAAGAGTCGTTCGCAAATCTAACGTAAATCAGGTCGCCATGTGTGGACATTTAATAAAGAGAACAGATAAATATATATATGTGTGATAAAATGGGTGATTATTAATGAAAAAAAGGATTAAATATATTCAAAAACAAGTGCGAATGCATATATTATAAAATAGATGGTACACAAAGAAAAATAACTTTTGGCAAAACTCAGTGGTTCATTATCACTATATCTAATATTTACATTATTAAAAAAATTAATTGAAAATATTATTTAACATCTAAACTACCTATTAAATTACTTCTACTTATTCATTGTTTATTATTACTAAATTTTTTTGATTTTTAATTCAATATGTAAATTATAGATGTTTTTGTTGTCCGATCTTCGTGAATAAAACATTTACAAAAACTTTCCATATTACAAAGAAGAGATAACAAAACATTTATAATAACCCACGTCGAAAAATTCCATGGAAGTACCCCCTGGAAATTCTGCAAGTTTTTTCTTTTAAAAATATTTTAACATTTCCAGGGTTGTCATAAATCAGGGAAATCAGATATTTTTATTAAAGTACTGGAAAAAATTGAATTTAGAAGCTACAAATGATTGCAGAAATTCAATTTATTTTCAAAAGTAATAAAATTCTTCGCAATAATTTAATTATGTTCAAAAATTTTTTAAAATGCCACGTCAAAATTTCAAATATCTTTAAAAATAATAAAATTCTTCTCCAAAATTCAATTATTTTCAAAAATTTCAAAAATTTTCCTCAATTCAGTCATTTTCAATATCGTCTATTTTATAACAAAATTTTTCTAAAGATTTCAATTATTTAAAAAAGTTGTTGATAAAATTTAAAGCAAACATTAAATTATTTACATAAATAATAAAATTTTTTACCGAGATTCAATTATTTTCATGAATAATAAAA